GCTCAGCCCACAACATGACACCAGCTGTCCCAGGGCCGGATTCAGCACCCCCTAACACCACGTATGCAGGCAGAGGTTCACCTGTGCCACTCTGACACTTTTTTGGGAAGAGTTGGCCCTTGGGGGCATCCCTACAGAAGGATATGGTCATACGGGGATCCAACCTCAGTCTAAAACTTCTTCATGAGGGGAACAGGAGGGGCAGGCACTGATCTCCTCCAGTGACAGGACCCCAGGGAGTGGCCTGAAGTTGTGTCAGGGGAGGTTTGGGCTGGATATTAGAAAAAGGTTCTTCCCTCAGAGGGTGGCTGGGTGCTGGAACAGGTTTCCCAGTGCAGTGGTCACAGAGCTCAAGTGACTGACAGAGCTCAAGAAGCATTTGGACAATGCTCTCAGGCATATGGTGTGACTCTTGGGGACGGTCCTGTACAGGACTAAGGGTTGGACTGGATGATCCTTGGGGGTCCCTTCCAGCTCAGCATATTCTGGGATTCTGTCACAGACAGGTGAGGTCCAGCTTTAGTTATACTTGGGTATGACCCAAACCCTTCTTCGCCAGTTACTGCATGATGTCCAAGTGCTACTGAGCCACATGAACACCGGCAGCTGGGTGGATCTGCCTCCCCTGCTTCCCAGAAAGTGTTTTCCTAACATTCAAGGGCAGAGAGACAAGCAAAGCCACCAGGTTGGACGGAAGAGCCAAGTATTAGTTATGACAGTGGCCTCAACAACACTGCTGAGCACCTGATAAGCTGCTGCAGCTCCCCAGCCTCCCCTTCCAGCACAGGAATTCCTGTGAAATTAAATGGCATTCATCCCTTTTGGTGGGCCACAACAAGCCACCTCTTACAACCTCCAGTTCTTTACCAAAGACAGGTCCTGAGAAGCTCCAGGCCATCTCCAGGACCTGGTACCTGCCACAAGTACCAGCATTTTCCTTTTGCCTGGTCCAGAGTTGCACTTTCCAGGGTTGTTTTCCAAACACACAACCCAGCTGCTGTTTTGCCTGGAGTAGTGCCAGAGTTTCTTCTTCACGAGGTCACAATCTCTCCATATCCCCCCAGATCTGCCTCATTCCCTTCTGCCAAGCCACTAGTAACACATGCACAGCTCAAGGACACCAGGCAGGAGCTCCACCAAAAGCAGAGTAGAGGCAGCTCCAGATTTGTGCCAATAGCAGGATAAGCCTGGCCAGACCATTCCCAGTGGATTCACATGGTCACAACCATGCTCTGCTCAAGGCCTCCCTGGGCTGGGAAACTGCAAAATGTTCTGGAGAGACTCCTGTGACAGACACCCATCCCTCCTGCACTGTTGGCTGGATCAGACAGGCTGGAAAAAGTCTGGGAGAGGTGGGCAGAGGCTCTTGGAGCTCAGGGAATCTACCCCAGAGCATTCCAGCCTCCACCCTGCTGGAAGAGTTTCTCTAGCAGATGTCCTTGCTCCACAAAGATGCTGATCCCAAGGCCAATGCAAGACAGCAGCTGGCTGAGGAGGGATTCAGTTTGGGAAGGCAAACTGAGGCAGTGTTTTAACTCCCCTCCTGCCTGCTGGTCACTGCCTGAAGCAAACACGGGACAGAATGGCAAAAGCCTTCAGCAACCTGGAATTCCTGCACAGGAGATTGTTAGAAAAAAGGAAAGGTATTGAAACCCTTCAACCCTCCACTTTCAGCATGGAATTCGTGCAGCAATGCAGCAACTGGTTTGCTGAACCAATACCACCAAACCCTCCAAGATCCTCCTGCAGCCCAGCAGGACACTAGTGAGCCCCCTGGGCAGGAGACACTGGATGCCTCTTCTCACCTCACCCCCACTGCTCTGGGGGTTCATCCCTCAATCCCCAACTGAGGGTAGTGAGCACTACACCAGCCACACCAGCATCCTCTGGATGTCAAGAGGACCGGAGCTGCCAATGCAGGGGGAAGGCAAGCCTCCCCCCATCGTGAAGCCTCACAAGCACAGCAAAGAGGCCGACCTGCAGCTGCTACTGTGGGATGGTTTGGGTTTGAAGGGGCCCTAAAGCCTATCTTGTTCCACCCCCTGCCACGGGCAGGGACACCACTAGACCAGGTTGCTCCAAGTCCCGTCCAGCTTGGCCTTGGACACCAGTTCTGCAGGACTGGACAGGTTACAACCCCAGGTAAACGAGATGCAGCCGAGAACGAGTCCTTTCTCAACCCCACAGCCACGAGAGCCACTCCCGACCTCCACCCGCCCCCACGAGGAGGGGGCGCTACGCTCCCTGCAGGGACACACGCCCAGAGCCATCACTCCCCCTTATCTTGGGGGCTTTGGGGCGTTTCCCCCTGCGTTCACCAAGACCCGCCGCAGCCCACAGACAGAGGGCCCGGCCCCTCAGAGCCCCCCGGGGGGCGCTGCCGCACTCACGCTGCCAGTGAAGATGTCCTCGCCCTCGGAGTCGCTGTCGGGGGCGCCGGGCCCGCGGGGCTCGGGGAAGGGCGGCGGGCGGCGCTCGGTCGGGGAGGGCGAGCGGGACCCGCAGCCGCCGCCCGACGCCATCGCCGCCGCTTCCGCCCGCGCCGGAAGCGCCCGCCGCACCTTAACCAGCGGGGGCGGGGCCAAGGCGGAGGACACACTTCGGATTGGGCACCGCTCCCTTCCGCCCCGCCCATCCCCGGCACGGACGGCCAATGAGTGCCTCCTCTCGGCGCCGCTGGAGGGCGTGGCGCGGTCACCATGGGAACGGAGGTGCTGGGCCGTACCACTGAGTTGACTGGGGGAGCATCGTGTCGTTTGCTCCCCCCTCCCCCCCCGGTGAAAATGGGTGAGCCCGGGGCTCCCTGTGCCCTCAGCGCCTCAGGCCCCAAAACAGCCCTGGCTGAGCCCCTGCCCCTCCCAAAACAACCCAGGAGGAGCCTGTGCCTCCCCAAAACATCCCAGGATGAACTACACCCCCAAAACATACCAGAATGAGCTCCATACCCTCAAGACAACCCAGGATTAACCCCATACAATCTCCAAGACATCGCAGGATGAGCCACATACCCTGAAGATGTTCCAGGCTGAGTTCTATATTCCCCCAGACATTCTAGGATGAGCCACATACAACCTCCAAGACATCTCAGGATTAACCCCATCCTCCCCCAAAACATCCCAGGATGGGCCACATACCCTGGAGATGTCCCAGGCTGAGTCCTATATTTCCCAAGGCATCCCAGAATGAACCCCATACACCCGCCAAGACATTCCAGGATAAGCCCTATAAGCCCCAAGAGGTCTCAGGATGAGCCCCAGCCTCCGGAGGTGTCTCGGGATAAATCCCAGACATCGCAGGACGAGCCCCATATCCCTGTGACAGTGACAGCCCTCTCATGGTGCTGAATCATCACCACTCCCTCGGGCCACAATCCTCTCAGGACAGTGCCAGGAGGAGCCAGGCAGGGCAACAAGTGAGGCAGAGCCAGGTGAGATGCCCTGGACTTCCACCAGCTGTGGGTTAAAGGAGAAGGTCTGGATGTAGGTGAAACACATGGGGGTCCCTGACCTGCTGGATGCCCCTCAGCTGGATTAATTCCTGAATGCTGTCCCAGGGAGAGGGTCTCTGTCTCCAGGTGGGAAGCACTGAGAGAGCTGCTGGGTGGTGCGAGTCCCTCAGTTGTGGGAGAGTATCAAAAAGAAATGGATTTTCCTTCTGTTCCCTCAGCTGTTTCCTGCAATGAAGCAGAAAAATCCAGCATAGACCTCCATCCCTTCACACTGGAGAACTTGGTCTAGTATGTGGCTGCAGCCATGTCCCACTCCCATCCTTTATCTAGGCTGGCTGCCAGGCAAGAAGCAAACAGAAAAACATAACACAGCTTATCCTCATCTGAAGGACTCTCTTGTATCCTCCCTGATTCCTGCTATCAGGAAGCAGTTGCTCATTCCCTCCTGTCTGAAATTCCCTCCGGGATTTGTGACAGTAAGGCCTGTTCTTCAGGCTGTCAGGTGGGACCCCATGCAGGCATGCTCCTGGATTGCCTCAGTGGGTTTGGAATGAGGACAACCTGCCAGTGTCACTCAGTGGACGGTTAGGGATGAAATACAGCTGTCCCAAAAAACTTCCAAAGGATGAAGTATGAGGAAACTAAACATCCTTTAAGATGAGCAGGAGAGGCAGCGGGATGACAAACACAGCTGCCAAAAGGATCTGGAGATCCTTCCAGCTAGACCTTCCACTCCGAAACAGAGGAAACCAAGCTACCTTGATAAGCAGTGGAGATAAATCCCACCCAACCCCTCACGTCCTTATTTTCTGCAAATTCCTCATCTGGTCCCTGAAAGATGCCTGTTCAAAGCGATAGTTTCACCTGCCTGGGTTGGAGCTTGGGCAGGCTGAGGATGAGACAATTTTCTGCTGCAAACCTCTTCTGAATACACACCAGGCTTTGGGTGTCAGGTTTAGACCTGGACTGGAAAGTGGCCCAGTCTCAGACGTCCCATAGGACTGGGGGAAATCCCAGCATAAAGCTAGGCAAGAGCCACAAAAATTCCTACAGTGGGAGCAGACATTGCACCTGCTCAGCCCTAGATGCAGGAGTGAGAATCAGCTTGGGGGTAGCCAAAATTGCTCAGAAAGATGCTTCAGGGTACTTTACTGTGGCCCTGATTGCAAGGCTTAGGACTAAAGAGTCTTTGGGAGCTCATTGGAGACAAGAGATGCTTTATGACCCACTCATGTATGTTTAAGATCCCCCATATCCTTTCCATGTGCTCCCCGGTACCTGCATGGATCTTTTCTTCCCTCTCAGGACAAGCTCTGACCCATCTTCCCCACCACATCCCTTCTCTCCCAGCCCATTCCACACCCTGGGCGTTCAACCCCCCTCTGTCCCTAGCCACGTGGGTCCTCTGATCCCCTCTCCAAGCACTCCCTTCTCCTCCATCCCTTTTATCCTCCTTCTGCGTACTCTGAGCATCCTCCTCTATGCTCTTCCTTCCCCTTTACCAGATCTCCATCATCCCACACTGGGGTCTCCATTCACAGGAATACCCACAGGATCCAGCAGAAGCTGCCCACAGGAGCCAGAGAAGCTGGTTAATCACCTTTTTATTTTATATTAAGTGCTATACACAAATTCCACCCCCCCAGGTGCTCCCAGCATCCCTGTGCAGACCCCAGACTTGACACTGCTGCCAAGTATGAAGCCAAAATAAGTTACACCCTCTCTGTGCTCCCAGTCACAGGGGCAGGGCGGGATCAGCCCTCCAGAGCTGGCCCTGCCAGTGCCCACATCACCCAGAGTGCCCTACACCAGGGTGTTTGCTTCCAAACTCAAAACCCATGGCATTGGGCCCTGCCTGTTCCCAGCACCACTGGCCCCAGATCCCCTTCCCAGCTCCTGAGGTTCAGCATAACATGGCAGCCTCCGATGGCAGTGGGGAACACCTGCAGGGGAAGGATGAGGTTGGAGCATCAGGTTGTTGACCCACCTCAGAGAAGCAAGAGCAAAGGAACAAGGATCAGGTCAGCCCCAGGGAGGTCTGAAGTTAAGTCCAAAGGGGGACAGAAGCAGTGAGGGCCCAGTGCTGTCCCGCTCCTCCTCTCCAACAGGATCCCCAGGAGAGGCAAGGAGCCATTCCAGGAAGTACTCACTCCATCTTGGCTTCCAGGTGGTGGACAGTCTGCTTGTCCAGGTAGCGGCAGAAGAGCGAGAGAAGATTGCTGGGCAAGAAAAGAGGCTCCACCAGTGAGGCCTTGGGCACCTGCGACAGCTCCCGGGCCACCAGGTACACCATGTCTGTCCTGGGGGCATCGGCACAGAGGGTGAGCACCCCATGGGCTGGCAGACTCCCCACCCCACAGCTCACATAGCCCCTCACCAAGCCTCAAAGTCCCCACTCCGTGGCTCCAGCGGCGCATCCGATGACAGCAGTCTCTCCCCATGGCTCAGCAAGGAGTAGAGCAAGGAGATTCCAAACTGCAGGGGAGCACCAGAAGGAACGTCACAGCCAGCAGTGGTGGCACCCCAGGGACACCACAAGGCTCAGGGCCACATACCTGGTTCTTCAAGGCCATGGCAAGGGGGAGCTCAAGGCACTCAGGCAGAGGCCGGGTCAGCTCCTGCAGGACCTCGATGAGTTTGCTGAAGGGGATCCCGCCCACCACCTCATTCAGTGGGCTGTAGAGCAGGGGGAGAGACTGGGCAGGGCAGAGGGGAAAGCAGGAATCTGAGACTCTTCGACCCATCACAGCCACAGCCCCATCCCAACAGATGGTGGGGATGGACACTGCCACCAGGACTGCTTTAACCCCTCTTGGAGACCTTTCTTCTCCTCCCTGAAGGGAGGAGACTCCTGTCTCATAACAACCCCACAAGACAGGACCCCCCGTTGCCCAGAGTGCCCCCCAGTGAGAACAGAAGGGGAAGGAGGCAGCCCGGGCCATTCCTGCCCCGGCTGGAGGTGCTCGCCTCATCCAGCACGTCCTTCTTCATGAGGAAGGGCAGGTGGTGGGTGATGGTCAGCAGGATCTTCTCCCCTTGCTCCTGGGTCAGGTGGGGCAGCAGCCGGGCCACAAGCTTCTTGCCCTTCCTCACACACAGCAGTTGCAGGAATTCATCCTCTGCCTCCCTGGGGATGAAGGCTCCATTGGCACAGGTCCCGAAGGACCTAGGGCATCTCTGCCCAGCCAAAAGGACGAGCATCAGCTCCAGTGAAGGGCAAGGCTCACAGGCAGGGTCAGCACAGGCCACGGTGACACAGCAGGCAGGATCCAACACTCCCTGTCACTCAGACCTGCTCACCCATGGCCATCTCAGATCCACAAGGACCAAGCTGTGCTGCCCACTCCCCTCAGCACAGACTCACTCCTCGCTGCTGCAAGCCCTGATTTTCAAGGCATGGTAGAGACTCTCTACTTCTTGGCTCTGCTGCTCCTGCTCCACCCCCAGGGCCAGGGACATCTTCCGCCGTGCCTCTTCCACTTCCAGCAGCTGCAGGAAGAGCTGGAGAAATAGCACACAGCAAGGAGGAACCTTAGAGCATCCTCTACCATCTGGTTACCCAGGCCCCTGTCCATAGATGTCCCACTGGGAGATCCCTGGATGAAAATGGAGCACCTGGACCACCCCACTCTGCCCTGAATCATTACTTCCTCACCTTCTCAATCCTGTGCAGTGCCCGCAGCCGGTGGCTCCCTGCAGCCTTTGGGAGGGGAGAAAGGAAGGCACAAGGGTTACAGCCAGTTCCAGACACCACTGCTGGCCCAGTGCTGGGCCAGCTGCTCCCTGGGGATTAGAGGTAGCTTCAGGACACAGCAATCCATGGGACCAAGACTGCCCAGAACCCCATCCCGCCTCTTGGCCAGGGACAAGCCACCACTGCTGAAGTGGGACCTCCTCCAACTTTGTGCCCCATCCCACTACTTGAGGCAGGTCCTATAGCTATTCTAGGCTCCAGGGGGAACTCAAAGCAGCATTCCTGGCAATTCAGGGCACCAATTAGCCTGGCTTCCCCTCACCTACCTCCTCCACAAGGGCGTGGTGCACAGCATCAATGGCCCGGCGAGGACTGTAGCAGGTGGACACAGCAACCTGGCCCAGCGAGCCAGCAATGCGCACCACTGTGAGAGGAGGGACACGGTGAGACCACGGCCACAAGCCCTCACCCAGCCCCCAACACTCGCCCCAGCCCTCACCAGAGTCATAGGTCTCCACTTTCTGGATGAACGGTGTGACCAGCTTGGGGGTGTCCAGCTTGTTGCGCCCACCCAGCAGCTCCTCCTCCTCCTGCCTGCGCTCCAGTTGGTGGTAGTACCACTGCAACAACAGGCCAGGAGTCCCCTCCAACACCCTGGAAGGTTCCTCTGGCTCCCAAAGCCCAGTCCCAAGGAGAACAAGCCGCAGGTGCTGCAAGCAGGAGCTCACCTGGTAGTAGTAGTCATCATCCATGTTCTCACTCTGCAGCTGGATCATCTCCACCTTGACAACCCAGTCCTTCTCCTTGGAGGTCATCAGCCCAGCGTGAGGGTCCATTTTAGGAGACCATGGCTTCTTGGGGGAAACACTGGCACAGGAGGAGACCTCAGCCTGCTGTGACCACCCAGAGCCCTCCCTGCACCCCACAGCTTCCCAGGGACCCCTCATACCTCTGCACCTGCCTGCCCTGCTGCTGCCGCTGTGTCAGGATCCGCTGGTGCTGGGGGTGCAGCTGGGTCATGTGGCTAGGCGTGCTGCAGGGGAGACCAGACAGTGGTCAGGAGGGGCTCAGAACACCCCCAGAGCAGGGATACCCTCCAGCTGCTTTGTGGGGTTCCACCTGGACACCCCATTCCTGCTACCTGAGGTTCAGCTGGCTGTTAGCTGAGGGGCTGAAGAAGAGAGCAGGGTCCAAGGAAGGGGACATGGGCCCAAAGTGCATGGCCAGGGGCTGCAGTGGGCTGTCCATGGTGGGGGACCCGGGCTGGAAAGGGGCTGGAGACGTGTACCCTGCAGTCTGAGAGGAAGAGAGAAGCAATCAACAGTCTGAGCGCCCTGGATGGGTCAGCCAGCTCTGTGCTGGCTTCTGGCTCCCATCCCCACAGGGGCCACCCTCTGGCACCACACCACACCTGCCACTGTCCCCATCCCTTGCTGCTCCAGGGCCACAGTGGTAGCTCCTAGCCCACAGCATTACCTGGTTGGAAGCGAAGAGCGGAGGGGGCCTGCGAGGTAGCGGGAAGGGACGAGGGGGGCATGGGGAGCCAGGAGGCATCAGGGGCGCCTGCTGAAGGGCAGGAGATGGGAAGTGTCACTGGGACAAGCGTGTCCTCCAGGCTGCACCTCCAGGGACAGGAGGACAGAGGAAGAGAGAATGCAAAAGCCCCCCTACAACCTATTACCTGCTGGAGAAAGCGCTGAGGAAAGGACTTGGGAGACATCAGTCTTAAGTCAGGGTGCTTGAGCCGGGGAGAGTCCCCAAAGCCCCTCTGCACATGGGAGCCAAGGAAGTCGAAGGCCATGTTGGTGGATGGTGGGGGCCTCTCCAGGACCTGGAGGATGGCTTTATCCTGCAGGGACGAGGCAGCAGCAGGTGGGAACGGGGCCCAGCTGGGATCAGTTTAGTTCCCCCAGCACCAGGCAGCTCACTAAAACCTTCAGTCACTGTTCAAACAGACCATGCATCACCTGGGGTCCCACCGTGGTAGTGTGAAGCAGCTGGGAGGCCAAAGGGACATTCAGCATGGGGCTCCAAATCCCCCCAAACTCAACAGTTTCACCTTCAAAACCAGGCTCTGCTTTGAGTGGGCACCTCCATCCACAGCCTTGGCACCCAAGGCACATCCGTGCACCTCTAGAGGTGTGATGAGACTTTGGAGATTTCCCCAGTTACCCCAAATCCCTTTGTAACTCTTGTGCCAGGGTAGGAGGGCCTGGCTGAGAATACCCACCTCCAGCACGTGGTGGGGTGAGACACTGCCAGGGCAGGAGCCCCACGTCCCAGGATCCATTGTCAGCTGGAAGACAGGGAGATGGTGGGCACAGGACAAGAGGACATGAGGAGAGGGGCAGAGGACACTGTGGGGGCTGCTCAGCCTTGTCACCAGAAGGGAGGGGACATTTTTACCATGTCCTCCTTGCCAAACTCTGCCCAGCAAGCACCAATCCTGCTGTCCAGCACCGCCGAGTCCTGGCTCTGGAAGGAAAAAAGAGTTACAGGTCTGTCTCCCTTCCCCAGTGCCCTACGTGGGGCAGGACCCACAGGAGTGGGGATGAAGAGGGGAGCAGTGGGACCCCCCCTCTCCGCTCACGCGTCACCTCCAGCGTGGGTTTGCTCTGCACGGCTCTCATCACTGCCGGGTCTCCCAGGTCATTGGGCTCCTCACAGGGCTCCTGCTCTTCAGTTCCCAGCTCCTCCTCCTCTTCCTTCAACTCAGAGCCAACCTGCTCCGCCTTCAGCTCTGTCCCACCTTCCTCGTGGGGCTCTCCCAGCTCCTCTGGCTGCTCAGCCGCTCCAGGCCCCAGCTCGTCCCCAACTTCAGTCTCCTCTACCACCGCTTCAGCCACATCAGGGCTCGTCTTCCGTGGCACCAGGAGTTTTAGAGTATCCTCTGTGGAGTCTCGGTCTTGGAGCAGGTAAGCAGGGCAGGGTGTGTGAGTGCCTCGGCAGTGCCCACGGGGGTCCCTGCTTCCCCCTTTGGGAGCTGGCTGATCTCCCCGACACTCACTGGAGCTCCCCTGAGGTCTTACCTAACCCAAAAGTCATCTCATTGTACAGGTCGATCTCCTCATCCTCCTCGGCCATCTCCAGCAGAGGCGCATCTTCCACCAGTAGGAAGTCCTCGAGGATCTGGAAAGGGAAGCAGCAGGGTCCTCGCTAAGGGAGAGGTAACCCTAACATGCTCTAAAAGCGGAGGGGTCACCAACCTCCTCCCCACCCCGCTGGTGGCGCCAGGCAGCCCCAAGGGCTCCCAGCTGGAAAAGGGAAGAACAGGAGTCACTGGCACTACCAGCGACGGCAGGACCCGCAGGCTTAGCCCGCCGGGACAGGAGGATGCCGGTACGGAACGGCACCAGCCCGGCTGGCGCTGAGACACCACCGGGCTTCGGAGGGAACACCCCGCTACGAGGGCACGAACAGCAGGCGGGCACAAGGAAGGGACGCGCACCGCACGAGTACCGCCAGAGCAGTGTCTGCTCCGGCACCGACCGCTCCGGGGAGCGCCAGCCCCGGGAGAACGGGCACCGCCGGTGGGGCGAGGCGCGAGGAAGCGGCCGCGGAGAGGGAGCAGCAGAGCAGGGCGTGCACTCACAACGGGCTCGCCGCCCTCCGCCATCCCGCCGTGCCTCCTCCCTCCCACCCGCCCTCCGTTCGTCCCGCGTCCCTCTACGGGGCCGCGCTGCCCCCGCCGCCGCCTTTTACCGCCCGCCGCCCCCGCCCCGACATGCGCCTGCCGTACAGCATGGCGGCGCCCAGGTGAGCCCCCCACCTGCGCCTGCCGTACAGCATGGCGGCGCCCCGGTGAGCCCTGCGCATGCCCCTGCGACAGGCGTGGATGGGGATGAAGCCAAGGGGATGAGGATGAGGAGGGTGAGGTTTACTGACCCCCACCTGCGGCCCTCGGGGCACAGAACATCACAACCCGGCTTTTCCCACTGCTCCCGTTGCTTCCTGCCTGCCACTGTGTTCTCTGAGCTGATACCCCTCTGAGGAGTTATGGGAAACCTGTCTGTCTGGCTGGAATCACCCTGGAGATGTACAGATATGAGCTTGAAAGCACAGGGGTCAACGCTAACACTGTGAATCATTGTGTCCTGCCAAGCACAGCGAGGTGCCCTCATTTTCCCACACACACACTGGACATCTGGGTGCTGGGAGCACCTTGATTGTGTTACCCACTCACAAATAATTCTGTCTGCCAGTAAAAGCAGAAATGGCCCAAAAGAGGAAGATTTGGCTGCTCTGACCAGATCAGCCTTTTAAAAACATCATGTGGAAAGGAGTTGTGGTTCAGCTTCTCTTTACAAGGAAAGTCTGACGAGTGTCACTGGTCGCAGTGGAGTCATTGCCAGGGATTCACATTCCAAAAGGCAGGGAAAGGATCCACATCCTGCCATCAGCTCCTTGTGTGATCAGTCCTCTCTGAGCTAAGGGGATTGCCCACCTGAGCAGGATCAGACTTGCCTCTGGGTCAGGCTGGACGGGGACGGTGAACTCGATGGCAGCTCTACCACCAACATGGCCCTTAGAGATCTCAGGCTGGAGCCCTGGGATCTCTGATAAGGTTCTGGCCGCAGCTGCTATGCTTATCTCAGTGAAAACACTGAGTGTTTTCAGCTGCGTGGCTGCTGCACCGCTCACCGAACAGCCAGCAAACCCAGCAGGGGCTGGGCCAGTGGGTATCGATAACAAGTGTTTTCAGGATTTTCCTTTGTTTGTCCTCTCCTGATTTACCTGCTGCCTTTGGGATGTTCTCCATATGTGCTTTATTTGTTTGAATCAGGTTTTAATATTAAGAAAGCAAGTCTTAAAGGGCCCAGTGTTAGAAGACCACTATAATACTGCTGTTTCCTCCCCACTAGTAATGACTTTCCTTTCTTTTCCCTTTTTTCCCCTTTCCAAGGAGTGTTACCAGACTGCTCGGCAGCATTCCCAGCCAAGGCACCAGAGAACCTGATTCTTTGGCCTTGGGGTTCTCATGCTTGATGTCAGGAAGTCTGTGCTGCATTGAACAACAGTAAATCCCTAATCCCAGAGCCGCTGGACTGAGACATTCCACACAGGCCTCAAGAGAGGTTCGGAAAGGAAGGTGGATGAGCTGTGCCTGCGTAGGCTGTTTGCATATGATCCCTGGATGCAAAACCTTCTGCAAGAGGTGGAGTTTACTCCCATTTCGGTTGGAAAAGCCATCTAAGATCATCGAGTCCAACCATGGCCCCAGCACTGCCAAACCACCACTAAACCCACGTCCCCAGGTGCCACATCCACATGACTTTGAAATCTTTCCAGGGATGGGGACTCCACCCCTGCCCTGGGCAGCCTCTGCCAGGGCTGGACAGCCCATTCAGGGAAAAAGTTTTCAGTCATATTCAACTTAAACCTCCCCTCGTGCAACTTGAGGCTATTTCCTCTTGTCCTATCTCTTGTTCCCTGGGAGCAGAGCCTGAAACCCCGCCCTGGCTCCACCCTCCTGTCAGGGAGTTACAGAGCGCAGGAAGGCCCCCTATGAGCCTCCTTCTCTGCAGGCTGAGCCCCTCCATCTCCCTCACTCGTGGTGCTCCAGACCCTTCTGCAGCTCTGTTCCCTCCTCTGGACACGCTCCAGCCCCTCAATGTCCTTCTTGTCATGAGAGGCCCAGAACTGACCTCAGGACTCAAGGTGTGGCCTCAGCAGTGCCCAGTAGAGGGGATTATGGCTGACCTGTGCTTATGGCCACACTGTAGCAGGTACAGATCAGGTGCCAGTGCCCCCCGGGCCCGTGGCCGGCCCCCGGTGGCCGGTGCCCCCCCCGGACCCGTGTCCAGCCCCTGGTGGCCGGTGCCCCCCCGGACCCGTGTCCAGCCCCTGGTGGCCGGTGCCCCCCCCCCCGGACCCGTGTCCAGCCCCTGGTGGCCGGTGCCGCCCCCCCGGACCCGTGTCCAGCCCCTGGTGGCCGGTGCCCCCCCGGACCCGTGTCCAGCCCCTGGTGGCCGGTGCCCCCCCCCGGACCCGTGTCCAGCCCCTGGTGGCCGGTGCCGCCCCCCCGGACCCGTGTCCAGCCTCTGGTGGCCGGTGCCCCCCTCGGACCCGTGTTCAGCCCCTGGTGGCCGGTGCCCCCCCCGGACCCCCCGCCCCGCCCTAGCACAGAAACGAAAGCGAAAGCGCACATGCCGCTCTGCCCGCAATGCGCAGGCGCGCAGACGGCTCTCACAACCTCGGCTCTCCCGCTTTGCCCGGAGACTGGTGACGCGGCAGGCGCTCCGTGCTCCGATTGGCCGCGGTTTTCCGAGGCTATAAAATGCGGCGCGCGAGCGCTGCGGGACAGTTGGTGCCCCGGGGAGACTCCATTATGGAGCGGAGTGTGCTGGGGTTCCTGGTACTGCTGGCGCTGCTCGGCCTGGGGCACGCCGCCGATCGTAAGTGCTGGGGGCGGCGTGAAGGGTCCTGTAGGGGGCAGGGAGGGTGAGAGGCTGGGGGGTCGCGGTGCCGGGATGAGTGGGTGCATCGACGCGATGCCCAGCGCAGCCAAGCTTCTCACATCGCCCTCGCCTCCCTCTCCAGAGCCGCCTAAGGTCGAAGTCTACGCCCGTACACACGCCGTGGAGGGACAGGAGAACACTCTCCACTGCTTCGTCACCGGCTTTCACCCACCAAAGATCGAGGTAGAGCTCCTGAAGAACGGCGAGCCCATGACCGACGTCAAATACGGGGACTTGTCCTTCAACGAGAAGTGGCAGTTCCAGCGCCTGGTCTATGCGCCCTTCACCCCTACCAGGGGTGACATCTTCGCTTGCAGGGTGGCGCATTCCAGCATGCCGGAGCCGATGATCTACCGATGGGGTACGCTCTGCCTTGCCAGCATCCTGTGGCTTCCATTTGCGTGCAGGGGCTCGTTCGTTTATCTCCATGGTGTCTCTCTTCCTCTTCCTGGGAAGCAGGGTGTTATAGCAGAGCGGGTTTTGAAGGTCTTGTGTTAGAGATGGAAAGTTAACTTGTTTTCAGCTGTAAAGGCTGTTATACACATCCATGAAGGATTCAAGGCGGACGTGCCTCAGTGTTGTCCATAAGGATTTGGTGGTGCTGCGTTGTCCAGTATCAGTGAACTCACCTAGAAGGAGATGAGTCACACAGTGATTTTGGCTTTGCCTTCAGATTATAAAGGACAGAGCTGTGGGGACTGTGGTCGTGACTCAGCCGAGGGCAGCTCTACGGTTACACCCAGTAGGGGTGGGCTCGTGGGTACTGGGGAGGGGATGCTGTTTGTCCCAAAGCCTAACACTCCACCCTTCTTCCCTACAGAACCAGACTTCTGAGCTGTGTCTGGGGTGATCCATGGTGAGTTATGCTGATGCTGTTTCCATGCTGGTAAGGGGAACGTGGACCCGTTTCCATATGGGGGAGAGTGTGTCCCTTGCACAGTTGAGGAACAGAAGCAATCACCCCCAAAAGCAGATCGTGTTACTGCTGATTTGGGGCACGGGACTCTCCCCACACTCCTTCTATTATTTTGTCCTGTTCCCTTGCCTACAGGAGTCTAAAGAAAGGAGACCTTTGGAGAAAACCTTCCATGTCTTTGCTGTGTCTGCCAAGTAGTAGAGAGTTGTCACAGGTCTCCTGATGCTTCTTTAGGCCCCACAGTGCTGTTTCCTCTCTGGGGAGGAGGTAGTTGCTGTGCCTGGAGATCCTGTGCCTTGGGAGAGGCAGGCTAGTTAACCCTGTGGCAGGCAGGCAGGCAGCACGATGTGGGATTTGTGACTGTGGTGGTTTTAATCTAGGCCTTCCCTGGTTACCAGTTTGTAACCAAGGAAGGGGCAGTGTTCCCAGTATTCCATACAATTTTTACGTAAATCGTGGTATAAATAAGAGGGGAGAAGCGGCCTTCGCTCCTCTTCTCTTCCACCGGAGTTCGGGAACAGTGAATCCCTGTGTTGGTCTCACTTATCTAAGGCTGAGGCCTGCAGCATCCACTAACCTGCCATGTGGAAGCTTGGAGAGTGCTGGCAGTGTCTGCCAATCCTGCTTTCTAAGGGACGTGGTGAGATTTGTTTTACTAGTTATTTTACTAGTTCTCGGGTTTGATTGCGCATATCTATTCAGTGTCCCTTTTTGTTTCCTTTTGTCCCTTTTTTCCCCTTTCCCTATCCCTTCGGGAGGTGTTTGGATTCCCATTTGCTGTGTACATAGCATCTTAACTGTAATATACATAAAATATATTTTTTTATATATAACTAGCTTGATTTTCGGGTTCTTCAATTTGCATAATTTTTTTTCCTTTGCCCTGGGGGGAAGTAGAAAGGGGGGAAGAGAGGGACTGCTACTGGAGAGTTGGGCATTTGGCAGGGAGCCAAGTCCAAACCATCACAGTGACGTACAAACCAGAAGCAGTTTTGGGTTTAATTACCAGTGTCTCAGTTTGAGGGCTTCATGTTCTTCAGACTATATTCGTATAACTGATGTGGGGTTAACAACGGGGAAATTCCAGTTTAACTCTTGATCAGAAGAAAACTGAAGATATGTGGCCCAGCTGATGTAATGCGTTGAAACGACTTAGATAAGTGCCCTGGTAGAGGCTGGATAATGATTAACTGTGCCCAGGACAAGCCTTGCCAGGACCTCACTTAAAATGCCCCTATTTTTGTAGAACTCTACAAAGTTGTGTATGGCTACTCCTTTGGTTTGTCGCTCTCTTTTGGGCAGCAGGAATGGGAACCTGGCCCCAGGGCAGGGTCTGGGATGTGTTGTGTCCACGAGACACCGTGGCTTTGGTTGATGAGACATCGGCCTGAAGGTCACTGATGGTGAGAGATGCCAACCTTGGCTGGAGGTGGGACATGGGCAGATTCTCTGGAGTCTGGGGACAAGGATTTACTGAGCTGGGGTGGAGGAGTTGAGAGCAGGATACACTGCCTGGGGTGGAGAACAAGGATCCTCTTGACTTGTTGAACTCTGAACCCCACCAAGGAAGGGACAGAAAAGCAGTTTCTGCAGGAGTTTTATCTCGCTGGAAGGTGGGTCTGTGCCTGCAGCTGAGATGCTGCAGTAAGAGTGCTCTTGAGGAAACCATTTTTGACTCCTAAAATAATTACGGTTGAAGCTGTGACCAGAGCGATTTATGTCCATCTCCTCTCTCTATGCAGGTCTGAAAAACTCTTCTCAAGCTTGTGTCCAGTCGTCATGATAACCACAAGAGTGATTATCTTGCTTCAAGGAATTCTTTAATCATGCTTGTCAAGATATCTTTTGCACGAAGCAGCAAGGGGGCTCTGGAGGCTTTTTGAGCATGCAGCTATAAATGCCTACATTACTGGTTAAAAACAATTTTAGCTACAAAGTGCTCCAAATTGTACAGGATTTTTACCTTAATAAAATTGTAGCTATTTAAATGTTTTTTCAGAGTCATTGGACAACCTGAGCTGATTTCAAGGGCTCTGGCGTCTGCTGGGTTGTAAGTGAATCTGGAGCCTGGTGGCACTGATGCTCAGTTGTACTTTTTTATCGTACTGAGAATGTGTAAAAACCACTTTTCCATCATTAAAAAAAGAATTAAAGATATTTCTGGTTGATGTGGTATCTGCCTGGTTGGCGGCTCCTGCGTGACTCTGAAGGGAAGGCATAAGATTTAAAAAAGGGATAAAGAAACCTTGGGGATGTGGGGTGGGACACGGAGTGAGGGCAGGGAATGGTGCCCACTTCAAGGGGGAGAACTCCAGATCATGCATCTTGGGGTGTGGGGTGTAAAGCTGTAAAACAGGGGAAAGTGTGTGTCAGCAAATTTCAGTTCTGTTTTTCTGTTCTCTGGCTGACCCTGCAGAGAAGAGCAGTTGGGAGCCAGTCATCTGTCATACTATGGAGGGTTGATGGCAGTACCCAAAGCTGGTGCTATTCCCATCACACTGCTTTTATTTTTATGAAAAAATCAGTGTGATTGCTTGAGGAGTGTTGGAGTGAGATGAATCTGACCTGTGTGGATCTTGTGTATGTGAAAAAGCGCCCCTGGAGACCAGGGGGTTGCACATCTCATCTTGGTATATTAAGATTTGCTGTGATGCAGAACACCCGCTTGAGATTTTTGAGGGATCGTGGCTTGTTCTACAGCTTTTTTTACTATAACCACGTTCCAGCATCTGAGTGGGAGGTTGCTGGGATGCAGGGCCTGGTTCTGGTGATCCATTTGGGCTCTTCAGAGTGTTCAAAATCAAGAGAGGTGAGGTTGTCATGGCTGGGTGGTCATGTACGGGGCTTGTCACCCAGCATGGGACAGCAGGACCTACCAAAGCCACCACACAGGGGACTGGCCAGGGACTGTGCCAGTCCTAGCAGTGGTCGTTGTGTGGGAGAAGATGGTCTGGGAAGGAGGAAAAGCTTTTGACTTCTCCTCCAGAGACCTCTGCAGAGCAGCTCAACCTGCTGTGTGAGCCCAAGGAACTGTGGAGCATGTTCTGGGCTCCTGTGGATCATGAAAGGCCACCAAGGTGCTTTCCACCATCTCTGCTCCACCTTTACTATCCTCAAGAGCATTAGAGAGTAATGGCTGGGTAGCCTCTCCAGAAAAAACAAAAGCTTCATCCTAATTAGGACACAAGTGGAGTCAACTTCAGAAGCTGAAAACACTGTGGAGGCAATGTGGGACGATGCATCTCAAAAGGACGTGTTAGCATCCTCCCACACTGGGGAAGTCTTTGCCCTGATTGCATCTGTGGCATTTTTCTGGTCTTACTTGGGAAATGTTTTGATGGTTTACTCAAAAATCCCCTGTCTGTGGGAGAACAGCACATGCCCATCCCAGAGGCTGTTCTGGGTTTCAGTGTCTGGAAACACCTTCCCTGTTATATCCAGCATCCTTGGGGTTCCAAGATACCCAAGATATGTCACTGCTCCTGGTTCTTCAGTGACAGTTCCCAGCAGATGGAATATCCTGAGGGATATATCTTGGGAAGTTTGAAGCACAAAACAAGCCTCATTTTTGCCTTGTGAAATACAAGCATATCTGCTGCAAGCCAGCTGTTTCCCGAGTCAATGAAATATGTGTGGTTTTGGGAGAAAAACTTTTAGAACAACTTAGGATCCACAAGGCTCAAGTCCAGCTCCTGGCCCTGCACAGGACACCCCAACAGTCCCACCCTGCACCTGAGGGCGTTGTCCAAACACTCTTGGGGATCTGATAGGTTTGGGGCCGTGACCGCTGCCCTGGGGAGCCTGTTCAGTGCCCGACCACCCTCTGGGGGCAGAACTTTTCCCTGATATCCAGCCTAAACTTCCCCCGGCACAGCTCCACGACGTTTCCTCCTCCCGTCCACCGGCCGGGGTTTCCCGCCGGCGCCGCCCCTCAGCCTCCTCCCACCTCCCCTCAGGGCCGGCCCCGCCTCCCCTCAGAGCTGTCCCGCCGCGATGTTCCGCGGCCGCCGTGCCTGGTTCTCGCAGAGCGTCAGCCCGGGCCCGCGGGGGCTCTGGGGTGAGGGGAACCGGGGGGAGGGAGCCAGGGGGGGGAGCCCCGAGGGCATTGAGCTGGCAGGAGCCCGCGGGGGGATGGAGAGGGGAACACAGCCCTGTCACCCCTCAGTGGGGTGGAACAGCGTGGTGGGGCACAGCCTCGTCACCCCTCAGTAGGGATTAAGGAGGGGGGGCAAAGCCCGGTCACCCCTTGATGAAGACACAGCCCCATCATCCCTTTGCAGTGCAGAGCAGGAGTACAGTCTTGTCCCCTCTCAGTGGGGATGAGGAGGGGGGCACAGCCTCATCACCACTCAGTGGGGCAGAGCAGTAGGGACACAACCCTGCCACCCATCAGTGGGGATGAGGATGGGGTGGGAGCATGACCCCACTACCTCTTGGTGGGGTACAGCCTCAGCACCCTCAGTGGGGATGAGGGGGGAACACAGCCCTGTCACCCCTCAGTGGGTCTGAGCCCCCCATGGGAGGCAGAGCATAGGTTTGGCCAGCCCCACCTGTATGAGCACAGCCCATGGTGCTTCCACACTGAGGAAAAACCTTGAACCCTCAGTGGGGCAGTGGGAGTCCCACAGCCATGGCAGAGCCACCACAGCTCCCACTGCAGGCCCCATCCCTGCAGCCCCACAACCAGACGTCCCACAGGTCATCCCAAAGTGGGAAACCTCTGGGATGCCCACCTTCCCCTCACCCCCTGTCCCCCACAGTGGCCGGTGGAGGGGCACTGACCGACTGGCTGGATGCCGAGTACCTCTTCAGCAGCGACGCCACCCACCCTGACACCCGCAGGTGGGTGATGGAGGCATTTGTCTGTGGCTTTAATGTATTTAATGGGAAGTATTTCCTGGATACCGACATCCTGTAAAAGTCGGTGGGGTGTTTTAAAGTTTTGGTATGGATCTGCCAGGGTTTTATTGCCTGGTGGAGTCTGGAAACTCACACCCATGCCACACTGTAGACAGACAGAACAGAAAAAAAAATCCATGTGTTGAGCTGGGCTTAACTCTGATATAAATGACAATAATTGTACTGGTTTCCCGCTGCCTGCTGGAAAAACAGGATCTAAAGCAGGGGTGGCATCACCCCCAAGGAAGGAACCCAGAGGTAAAAAGCTGGTGTAAGTTAACTCTGAAAGGAACCATGGGGTAAAAATGCCTGGGAAAGGACAGAAATGCTTAATATAAAAGATTAGAGAGTTCCAGAACAATATAGGGAAAGACTTCTCACTTCCTCAATATCAGTGAATATTTATTTACTGTCATGTCAATATATGGTAAAGAGCGCTGCAATGCTTCCAGCAGGCTTTGCTAGGCTGGACTAAGCAGCTTCTTTGCAACACACCAGTGCTTAAAACTAGCTTGGATTTTTGGTATCCTTCAGCCACCCCCTCCAGCTGCACAAGAGAAATTCCAAGAAACCCAGAATGACATTCCTTCCGCCACACTTCCTGCCTGACTGCGCTGTTCCCCCAGGGGAATTATACATAATTATATATTGTATAAATATGTATAAAATACATATTCAATCTATATACTTAAATAATTTCTTGGGGAAAATGTAATCATTATCCATACTGTTGAATCCAGCAAACAGTATTAGTTCCCCTCTAAGGAGGACGGTGAGAACTTGAGCATCCTCCACCTGCCCTTCCTCACTCACCTGTGTGAGCAGGGACCAGCAGGGAGAAGAATAAATAAAGGGAAGTCAGGTTTTTGCCCTCCCTAAAGGATTTTCACCTCAAGAGCAGAGTGGGGCCACTTAATCCCTACAAATATGTTTACCCAGTCCATGGTCTTCTTCCTCCAGGCTGCTGGCAGCTAGAATCCCATAGATAGAAAATCACAGAAAATTAAGTAATTTTTGCAAAAATATCAGAGCAGGCTGGTTTTAACGACAACATCCCTCTAAACTTTCTGGTTTTGTTTTGTTTCTAGGTTCACCTTTGGAAACTAGCTCTCTTTTTCTCTTTCAGCATACACAAGAGTCTCAGATACTTGGAGGGCAGAGCCACAGTCTTTCACTCCCGTTATCTCTCAGCATGTGACTGCGCTGGCACCTCGGAGAAGCCTTCAGTGGTTCTGGGCCACTTTGTCCTGCCCCCTGCCTGCCTGCAAGAAGGTCAGGGAAAAAAAATATCCATTTGGGTTTTCCCTCCAGGGGGTTCCCCCACGAGCTCAGCCTTGGTGCAAACCAGAACCATCAGTTACTTCTCTGCAGGGAGGGAATTTCCTTCTGCTGGAGTGGCTCTTCCTCCCTGGAGGCAGCGTATGCTCCGTCTATTATCACGGAATCACAGAACGGTTTGGGGTTCGAAGGGACCTTAAAGCTCATCTCGTTTCACCCCCTGCCATTGGCAGGCACACCTTCCACTATCCCAGGTTGCTCCAAGCCCTGTCTAACATGGTCTTGAGCACTTCCAGGGTTGGGTTAGCCACAGCTGCTCTGTGCCAGGGCTTCACCACTCACAGTGAAAAATTTCTGCTGAATCTCTAATCTAAGACTGCACTTTAGCAGCTTAAGGCCATTCCCCTGTTCCTCCAGGCCCTTGTCCAAAGTCCCTCTCCAGCTCTCTTGGAGCCCCTTAATGCACTGGAAGGGGCTCTTAAGGTCTCCACAGACTATTCTCCAGAATGAACACTCCCAGCTCTCCCAGTCTGGCACCAGAGCAGAGGGGCTCCAGCCCTTGGAGCATCTCTGTGGCCCTACCTGGACTCGCTCCAGCAGCTCCAAGTCCTTCTGATGTTGGACCCCAGAGCTGGAGGCAGCACTTCAGATCGGGTCTCACCTGAGGGGGCAGAGGGGCAGAATCCCCCCCTCCTCTGCTTCCCTCACTGTGGGATCAGCCCAGGGCAAGGGGGATTTCTCGGTGCCAGCTCACACGGCTGGGACATGTCCAGCTCCTCCTCCACCAACACCCCTAAGTCCTTCTCCTCAGGGCTGTGCTTACTCCATTCCGCCAGCCTGGATTTGTCCTTGGAATTGCCCTTGCCCAGAGGAAGGACCTTGCACTTTGGCCTTGCTGTCCTCTGAGGCACCTGCAGGGCCTCACTCAGGCAGCAATGCCACAGTCCCATTATTTAATGCTCTCAGACATTTGTTTTGTTGTTCTTGGCAGAAATCAGAAAGAAAATTGGCTGTTTTATTTGGGAGCAGGTGGATGTCCTTGAAGAAAAGGTAAGATGAGAAATCATACAAACGTGGCTTAAAAAATAAGGGTTGTATCAACTCCAGGGAGCCTGGTTTTCATCCCAGACCATCAGCCCACATAGAGGATCAAGTCTCATTTAAACAGTTGGAGGCACAGCAACCGCAAGATGATGGAGTTTTTAATACTCCATAAAGTCAACAACAAAACCTCTACCCTGGATTTCCAGAGGGTTGACTGTGGTTTACTCAGGACAGCAGTGTGGGAAGTTCCTTGTAAAGCTGACGTTAAAAACAAAAACATGAAAACTGGACATTCTTAAAAAAAAAATACTGAAAATGCAGGAGCAGCTTGTCCCCAGGTGCCAGAAGATGAGCCAGAGGGGAAGAAGATGGGCCTGGCTGAGCAGAGAGCTTTCGCAGGAACTTAGGGAAAAAAAAGGAGAGTGTGTCATCTTTGGAAAAAGGGGCAGGCAACTCAGGAAGTGTTTAGCAAGTTGTTAGGTCAGGCAGAAAGTAAATCAGAGGCAAAAGCTCAGTTATAACTTAGTCTGGCCACGTCTGTAAAGGATAGTAAGTGTTTTTATAAATACATTACTAACGAAAGGAAGGCCAAGGAAAACCTTGTCCAGACAGATGCCCAGTCTCCCAACTCACAGTTCCAGGGACTCTGATCACCACAGGCAGAGCTCAATCCTTTGGGGTAGTATTTTCCCTCTCATTTGTGCCCCCTCTCCTTTCAAAGCAACTTCCCAGCACTTTTGAAGCAAAAATATGCCTAGACCTAAAGTTAAACTCTAAATTACACCTGAAATCACAAGCCCTAAAATTCCATTCCTGGAGCGTGTCCCAGGTGCTCTGGGGGGGACAAAGGGCACCATTTTAACTCAACCCTGCATTGATTTTCACAGCCCAACGGAAATCCAACAGAGGAACCGGAGGCAGCAAGAAATGGCTGTGAGGAAGATCCAGAGGGGGAAGCGCTAGACACGGACAAGAGGTATTTTCCCGCCCTGGGTGGTGGGATTTGGACACCCCCCAAATTCCAAGTGATCCCAATGCACAGGAACTAACATATAGAATTTTTTTTTGCCCCCACTCTGATACAGCAGCGAAGAAACAGACTCTGAAGCACCTTCCCAGGGAGGATTTCCATACCGCGCCCTCCAGGAATACCCAATAAATAACATGGTGACAGGTAAATACACCCGGAAAGGCCTGTGGATGGAGGGGGGGAGCAGGGACCTAGGTGAGCCTGTTTTCCCTGCACAGGCTACACCTCTGCCCAGGACATGAAGAAATACGAAGGGGAGCTCCACGACTTCATCCCTGGCACGTCAGGCTATGAGGCCTACTGGGTTCAAACCAAAATTAGCATTTACTGTGAGAGGAAGACCAAAATGAAGAGGAAATTGTAACAAATAGGTGTATGGAGCAGTAAAAACTTCCTAATTTAAGAGCTACCAGAGAGGATTTATAAATTATCCGACTGCAGCTCAACATGTTCAATGTGTATTTAAACACTGGCTAAATCTACTGCAAATATTTTCTCCTTTAAGTAGCTACTTAAATTTCACAACAAACACAAATACAGATCTTTTTCTCCAAAACACAAACCTTTTGTCATTTTATTGCTACCAGGAGGGGGGTTTAAACTATGGCTGTGAACAGTTTTCCTTGAGGGGACACACTGAGGTCTCCTTCCTTTTATTTTATCAAGTAATTTTAAGGCTTTTCCCTTTCATTGAAGAACTTAAAAGTGACCAGTGGGGTTATAAAAAGCAAGTTTAATTCTGGCACAGCCTGACTGTAGGCTGCCTGCTCAGGAAAGCGCAAACCTGGGACATGTTCCCACAAGCTCCAAGGAGCCACCATGGTCATCCTCTCCCATGGCCCCAAAAGCAGGAGAGCCTCTAAAATACCACTTTGATCCTCACACCCCAGCCAGGAAAGAACCCAACAAGATGCCACAAACAGGAATGTGTTGCATCGTCTACACCTGAGAACCCACCCTCTCTCATCCCCAGGGACACAAGTGTCCAAAGACCAGGTAGGCTGAGGTGGTTTCCCCATGTTTATTGGAAAAGTGACACACGGGGATGGACTTAGAGCGCTCCTCGGGGCGTCTTGAAGTTCATCCCCACCGTGGGCTGTGTCACCTGCAGGTTGGACAGGCTGCCAAAGTCCTGGAAAACAACGTGGGAACAACGGGATCAGCAACTGCACCCTGCCCAGTGACCACTGAGGATGGGGAGCAGATTCCCTCAGGGAGGAGTGAGAGGGTGCTGTGGCAGCACCGTGGGGGAATTCAAGTCTCCTTAAGAGGGGGAGATCACCCCACTCTGGAGATCAGCTCAATGGTGAGGGAATCTTTGGAGGGGAGGGCAAGGAGCACACCCACCCTGCCAATGGCAAAGCCATCATGTCTCTCCCTACCCTCCCAAAGGCCATATAGGAATTAATCTGCCCACAGGACCCAGGGCAGAGGGAGCCCCACCATGTCCCTGGAGTGATGGAGCCTTCAGCCAACATGAGTGAGAGCAGTGCCAGGGACATGCCACCAACCAGGCAGAGGGTAACTGAGGCAACTCACCAGGAGCTTTAGCATTTCCTTGGTGTCTGGGTCCACTTCAATGATCTCCTGGTCAAGAGCAGAGACCTGGGGATGGATGGGAGAGAGAGATGTGGTTTGATAAAGCCCCACGACCCCCTGGGTGTCCCCACAGCCACTGTGGTCCTGTCCCACTGCAGACAGGATCTCCCTGCCCACTGTGGGGAAGGGCTCCAGAAGAAGAGCCAAGAGGACCCTGATGGAGCCCAGCTCTCTTGACAGAACATGGTAGGAGGCCACACTATGGAAGAAGAGCCTGTTTTATGGCAAATCTTTGGAAAACCAAGGCCCAGGATGCTCCAGGCCAAGGCTGCTGAGGAGATGGGGTTGGGCCCACAACTGCACCGGTCCTGACAAGTCACCAGTAGTAGCCCACAGTGTGTCCCACCTTCACTCTCCTGCTCTTTAATCCCAGAGAAACCTCCTCCAGCCCTCTCTGGACCCCAAACCTCCATCTCTCTGGGTTTCCTTCCCCAAGAGCTACATCACACCAGGATTTTTCTAAGAAATCACAAACAGTGCAAGTTCAGCTGATGCTGTACTAACAGCTGCAACAGGGATGCTTCTTCCCTGCTTCGGGTCCCTTCCCTGCAATCTTTGGATACAAAGGTAACCACACCCTGGCACCACCAGGGTAGATGTGGGAGAGGAGTGAGATGCACTGTGCCTGAAGGCCACAGGATTTGGGAGCAACAGGATCAAGTCCCTAGAACACAGGAAATGCTCTTGGAGCGCCTCACCCAGGTGACAGGTGGGACCTTGTCCCCTTTGGAGCACAGGGCTAAGGGGAAAGGGTGCCACCAATTCGTCCTCTCCAGCAACACTAGCTGTAGGGCAGGTTTCCAGCTGCTCTGAAATATCCTCCTGCCTCCCAAAAAGTCATTTCCTCCCCTTTTTAGAGTTAGCAAAACCAAAACGCAAGAAATCAGCTGCCCTTCCTGCCTCAGGCAGTAGGTCTGGAGGGCTCCATCTCAGCCCCCTTGATCCAAACCCTCCTCAGCTCGTCTCTAAGCTGAGGGTTTGTTTTAAAGGAATCTGGGCCCACTGATGGAGATGTGCCGAGGCAGGAGGGAGCAACGGCAGAGCCTCACCTCGGGGACATAGTTGTCCCTTCTCTCCCTCTCCTCCTCCTGCAGTTTGATGGAGATGCCGCGGACGGGGCCCCTCTGGATCCGCTTCATCAGGTGGGTGACATACCTGCGGGGACACGGGGGTGTCCAGGGGTTCCCCGGGGCTCCCACCACCCTTCCCCACACCCCCAACCCTGGGACCGCGGCGGGACGGGATGGAGCCGCCGCCTCCGGGGCACATCAGGGACGAAGTGTTCGACAGCAACAGGGTTTGGGGGGGACAGAGACCCCCCCAAACACGGGAAAGCTCTCGCGCTCTTCTCCCTGCACTATCGATGACCCGGCCACAGGCAGGACCGTGATCACTTTCGAATGCAGAGCCTGTCCCGAACCTCCTCCCGGGAAATACTCAGTGCCCCAACCCCACCCGGAACCTCCCCGTGCCCTCGCCCTCGGGGACACCCTCAGTGCCCCAACCCCATCCGGAACGCCCCGTCCCTCACCCCGCGATCTTGTTGCGCAGCTTCTTGCTGGGGATGATGGCGATCTCCTCGCACACGCGCTTGTTGGTGTGGAAGTCGTTCCCCAGGCGCGTGTAGTACTTCTCGATGATCACCCGCGCCGCTTTCTTCACCGTCTTCGTCCGGACGCGTCCCTGCGCGGGGCCGGCATCGGTAAGGCCCCGCCGAGCCCGGGCCCGGCGCCTCCCCACCCAGCGCCCCCTCACCCGGCTATCCCGACGCCCGCCGCCCCCCGCAGCCCCTCGCCCCGCTCCCCCTGCTGCCCCGCGGTCGCCGCCGGCGCTGCCGCCGCGGCCCGGCGGGCGGATGGCGGCGGATGGCGGGGCCCGGACCCACCATGTCGGCGGCGGCCGCGCAAAGAGAGCGGACGGAGGTGGGAGGCGCCGGAAGCACACGGCACGCACAGCGCCCCCTGGCGGCTCGGAGGGTCTCTACACGGGCGTAGTGGGCGTGGTCGTAGGCGTGGCTATGATTCGATGGGCGGAGCTAAGGTCCGGGGGCTCCGCAGGGTCCCAGCGCCGCCCGCCCCGGACTACCCAACACCGCTCCGCGTCCCTAGGGCGGGAGGGAGCAGCCCGGGAGGCGGGTCTGGGGCACCACAACACCCCAGGATAGGTCAGGATGAAGGACACAGAGCACCCACAAACTCTCATCACACAGCCCCAAAGGGGAGGCCGACCACACGTGGGTGGCTGCAAAGTTGGAAGGGGCACAAGGAAGGAGCCCAAAGCCCTACCCCCTCCCCAAGCCCCCACTGCACCCCAAGTCCCATTCAGCCCTCCCCCTGAACACAGAAAGGAGCCCTGGGGTCCCTCTCCCACTACACAGCCCTGCAGAGTGTCACCCCTGCACCCCTGAGCGTGGGAGCACACAGGCCCTTCCAAATAACTTGCTGCTGCAAGTAGAGAAGCTCCAGCTAGAGCTCAGGGGTCCTGTGAGCACCTCTAGTAAAGTGGGATCTAAAAACACACCTCCCAGCAGAGAGAGCTCCCTCCCACCGAGTCACCGATAGCATCTGGAACTCCATCCATACCCCTCCCCCTACCTCTGGGAAGAGACACCACAGCGCTCCCAAATTTAGAGACATCCCCCACACCCCCGAAGTAGAGAGCACAAGAAAGGTTGTTTTTTTTTTTTTTTTTTGCTGCAACGTGTTTATTATGTGCCAAAAACTACACCACAGCTTACTCCACGCATCTGTAGGAGAGTGCAGTCTTGCCTGCATATACTACAATGAGGTAGAGACTTCACAAACAGCTTCACAAAACCCCACAAAGAGCAGCTGGGATATGCAACAATGCAACATCAGCTCAGCAGAAAAGAAAAAAAAAATCATACTAAAGAGGGAGAAATTATGACACTGGTTCTTTGGCACACAGCTTCCGATAGAGGGAGAAGTAACAAAAAACAATTGGCATAATTAAAGGTCTCAAATCCCAGCAGCAGCATCTCAGTCGACTGCACTGTTACTCCACACATCTCGGGAAGGAAAAGAAAATTACTTGTCCCCTCTAAGAGAAAGGGCTCCCAGGAATCTTCATCATCCACCCAAACGCAGCCCTTTTTTAGCTTGTTACAAAAAGAAAAGGTTTAAGTCCTGTGACTTCGTGTGATTAAAAACCTCTATCAACCCCCCATAAGTGCAACTTAAAAAAGTGCAACAAACTATTTTAAAACTATATACAGCAGCTCAGAGATCATCATCCCATCCAGTTCCAAATCCAAAAACAAAGCCCGGCCTGTCCTGTTGCAAACCCCTTGATTTACAAGGTCCTGCCAGCAGCCCCCAGACACAAATTGCAATAATGTTAAAAGCTGCCAGGAAAGAAAAAAATCTCTCGTTTCAAACTACTTAAAAACTGTTTTTAAGAGTGTAAAAAGGAACTCGTAAAAACCCTCGAGCGTAAAATATGAAATATGATTTGGTTTAAATGAAGAGCAAAGTCTCCTTTGTTGTTACAGTAAAAAACGCCAGCTGAACACCCAGGTCACACCGTCCAGGTGGGGGTAAATGAATGGAAAGGCACTGTATGGCAACGGCAAAACAATGACCAATGAGACCTGCGCTCTCTCCACCAGTATTGCAAGGAATGTAAAAAAGCGCCTTTAAAAAATAAAAAAACCAAGGCAGAGGCGCCTGCGGCGACACCCCCGCGACACGTGGCCCTTGGTTGGTTGGGTTTTCTTCATTTTCAATTTTTGCTTCTCATCAGCAAACCAGGAACCAAAGTCTGGGAACTGCAGAATGGCTTGAGGGGCGCTCCCCCCCACTCAAAACACCCCCAAACAAACCCCAACAAAACTCACTGTGCATTAGTGCAGAAACAAAAAGACCAGCAAGTGCAAACATGAATGTAAGATTTGTTTTG